TCAAAAATGTCCCTTCTCCATCAACGCTCTTATACCCTTGCTTCATAGATTTGATATTGATTTATTGTACTAGACAAAATTGTCACATTATACAATTTGGTAGGTGCCACTTAACACACTTTCATAAATTAACTGAACTCTGACATTCTAAATATTTGATTCATACACGTTTCATTGCTTATTTTAGTTCTTTATAGTGGTGTGCCAACACAGAACTACATACAGAGTAAATCATGAATACATTCAAGCCCTTTATTAATGATAGATGTTATAAGTGGACTAAAAACTTTTGATTCTTTCGCAAGCGGAAACAAATTTTTATGAATAATATGTATGCTCAAACATCTTATGTAATTCTTCTTCAAATAAATCTGAATATACTTCTATCAAATGCCCACTTTAGCCACCTAGGGGATAAAACATGTTTGACTGTGTATATTTAGAAGATTCATTCAATATTTGGCTTGTATATGATGCTCTTCTTTGGATTTAACTCATTGTGAGAGTCATGTCGTTATTGTTTTATCTTGCCCTCCTCAATAACTATGTGCCCAATCAACATTGTACCATCAACCATGGTTTTACTAATCAGGCCAGAAAAATCAGTTTGATTGGTTCTACTGTAAACCGGTCATTCAACCAGTTTGCTCTAAGCTCAAAACTATTTTCACATAAAATCGTGATTGAATCGATCACAATCAAGGTTGAAGCGACAAACCAGTGAACCGGTCTGGTTTCTAAAGAACTGGTTAGTTCAAATATTGTATAATTTCCATCTTTTGATTTTGATTGGATGGTCATAAATAATATATTTAAATTAAAATAGAGAAAATATCATGCCTTAAATTTATTTTATGTTGAATATTTTTCATAATATTCATAAGCGTTGTCTTAAATTAAAACATTATTTGTTAAATAGATAAAAAAGATATTAATATATCATTATTTTATTATTTAAATTATATTACATCACGCAGTTAAACCTCCGGTTCAACCTCAATTGAACCATTGAACCTTGAACCTTTCTTTCTTTCGGTTCGATATCTAGGCTGATTTTCACAACCTTGCTAGCAACCTTAATCGTAAGATAAGCCCAACATTCTAAAGGGTTGTGATCATCGCCTTACCAATCAACAAGTTGAATTTGTTGGTTTGTGAGGACGAACACTTGACTAACACTGATAGAAGATGTTGTAATCTTATGTAACATATATGATGCAAGTAATACCTATGAGATAATGAGCATCAATGAACCTGGCACACATAATTGGTCGTTAACCATGAGAAGGTTCAATTTAACCTATAATTTATTTTTCCTTGCGTACAAACTAAAATATGTTGATAATAAGGTTACATATCTGTATTATTGGCCCTCTAATTCATTTTTATCTAGTTTGAGTGTGCAAGTTTATGTGTTTCACGTAATTTGGCTATGTTTGGATAAACACCTATGAAAGCAGGATTAATGACATATTTAAGAATGATAAGTTTATAAAAAAATACAAAGAAATAGGTTGGAGGATTTGATTGTTGTAAAATATGAGTACTTGGAATTTTTTAATACATTAAAGCAAGTCTTTTTATTATGTACATTTATCTTACAAATGCTGCAAAATGTGCTGCCATGGTCTTTTGGTTCACCCCTTGTGTTATGACAATGAAGTGTGCATGGCCGACCTAATCTTTTTTGTGAAAGCAAGAGCAAGTCAACTATTTATGTATCCATGTCTCGTATTCTAGCCATGTTGAGCACTTTGCAATAATTGTGCGTTCTGTAGCATCTTTAGATATAGGCTTGGTGATTCAAATAACTTATCCCTGATACAACAATACCATGTGAACATGACATGCGATAGGTTTGGGGATGATTGCATATGCATATACTAGTTTCATTGTCAGTTATACCAACATAGGACCAACATTTTTCCAAAACTTGATACTTTTGATTGTTAATACATGTATGTTCTAGATATCTTCTTGCTTCGCACTCAAACAGGTCTTTGTAGTGATGTCTTGGTCCTAGTAACATCAGGTTATGTGCATTTTCATGGTGCTTAGCATCATTAGATGCTTTGGGGGAATAATGCCACAATGTTGTAATAAATAGCAAATATAAGTGCTTGTATTGATAGTCCTTGTGCTTACTTTAACACACCATGAATGCATTTTGAAATATTACAAGTCATCATTCCAAACCTAAAGTAAGCATCATAAGATAATGTCCATTTGGTTATGTCTATCAATTAGCTAAAACAAATGTTTCCTTAATATTTTTTATGTCTATGGCATATTGTTGATAAAAATCTTTGATATTATCACTATTTCTAGCCAATTACATTTTAACATGAAGGCTTTAATGACATGTAGAGCCATACTTCCCAACTTTTTTAAACTTCTCCCATTAATGCTCGAGTCAATGATGATATGTTGCTCTAGGAACATAATAATCATAGAGCAAACCAAAATTTCTATTCGATATCAAATTTCTTCTTATTCCAACGAGTCAATTAACGCATATAGTGTGTTGATTCATAATCAAGACTCATTGCACGTTCACTTAACAATGCCAACTTCCATGATAAATAAATAATTTTTTTAATTGATTTCAACCATAGTCCATAATGTCTCCTGATACCTACCAAGTAAGAAAGTATTATCCAAGCCTGATCATGAACAACAAGCATTACCATGTGTGTAGATCTGTGGATGGCCAACCTTAAAAATTTTTCATATCCCAATCACATGCTGCTTGTCGGTTGCATTTAAGCGCCAAGGATTTAATAGTAATAGATGATTTTTATCATATTGGACAAATATCACAATCAATCTACTTTTCTTAGAAAAACCTTTTCGTACAACATTATTAATGATTTGAACATAACACACCAACATAGTCATTGTTATAAATCATTGGATCAATCTCTACAACTATAAACAAGTACGATCACACTTATCCAATCATGACCTGCAAGCTCATTGCTTTTGTGATCATCTGTTCTATCCGTGCAAGTATCTTTATCATTACTGCTAAATCCATCATTACAATTTATTTTTTCATTTGCTTCATCAATATGAGTAAATTGGCTCTGGCATTCTATGTCCCACAGGATAATGTTGAATGGGCAGTGGATTTGTCATTAAAGATTTATGTGAGTGAGAATGGATTCCGATGGGATATTATTACATGGAGCAGCAATCCCGTGTTTATCCAATGATACAGGTGTAGGATTATAATGTGTGGGGCAGTGACCCACATACGTATCTAGCAACAAAGGTGCAGGCCGGTTGAGTTGGTGAAAAGTTATTGTTCATAAATTAAACAATTAATATAGTAATTCTATGTTATACTAACTAATAAATGTTAATGTCAATAAACCTCAGTTACTCCAAGCTTGACTGACAAATTTTGGTTAAATTGAGACATAATGCATTCTACCATGCGGTCAACATTCTAAATAGGTGTATGCTTACTTGTGGCGGCTAAGACTACACATATCTCATCAGTAATAGGTGTTGCAAAATATTCACGATTTTTGAGATAATAAATTATATTAAGTATAGCTCTTGACTTATCATATTTTAATACTTAGTGCATTCTCTATTTAAGGTCTTCTAATGTGGTGTCTTTTTGGAACTTTCATAAGATGATTTTTTTTTTCATCCGCATAGGATGTTACAAAATCTTCAATAATTCTCAATTTTTTATAAAAAAGAAGCAGAAATTTTCCAATCATTTTGGCAAATTTAATATTTAGAATATATAAAATTAAAGTTAATAATTAATTAAGAAAATATACACTTGCCGCTATGCTTTAATGGCTTTGCATTATAATTTATGTTTATATATTTTAATCCTTGTATGATTTTACCATTGTTGCTTCATCAGTTTTACACACTATTATATACGAACTACAAGGTACATAAATTAACATAAATTAAGTGAAAATTTAACAAAAGAAAGCATCCCTGAACTTGAGTTACTAAAGATAAATTCGTTATGGAAAATCAGATTACTTCTCCATGCTAGGACTGTAGAATACTCAAGATGGAATAAACTTAGAAAATATTATATGTTAGCAAGGGAAGGAATAGTATTGGGAACAGAAGATGTGTTGGCTAAGGGGAAAGTGATGAGCTTTTGTATAGGGAGGGAAATATATATATCGTTATTTTACTGGTGAGTTGTCCCAAAAAAAATATAAAAAAAAGGCAAATTCATCCTTTAAAGGGTGAGTTTTTTTCTCTTAAAAAAATGGTCATACGATCTTTCTGCAGTATTTACTATTATTTGGATCCTAATAAAGTTTGTGCTGCATCATTTGTTGATGAATGAATGCAAATGCCTGGTCATGAACTCGTGCACTGAACAATTAATCCATTGTTGACTGGCTCTATAAGGCTTATTAATGAAAGTTTTGAGTCAATTTCTGATATTATTCTTTGTTATGTTATGATTTTTTCATCGTGCATGCAGATTTATATTTGCACGATGGTGTATATTTATGATGGTAGATATTCTATGGCGTGAAAGAAAGGCTATGGCTTCAACAGTGGGTCTGGCACGTGTCCTTTTGATTCTGTGTAGTTAAGGAAATACTCAAATGGTTGAGAGAAACATTTCTCTACTCATTGGACCTTTTCTTCATGTTGCTTCACTCATTGGTTCTTATCTTTCGTTTGCATTATTATATTTGGTCATATTTAAATTTTTTATTTGGGTATTCTGTGGAAAGAAAGGTTCATATACATGAAATAGGGAGCAAGTTTCTCAAATAATCAGGACCATCCTGAAACTGGTTTTTGTTAATTTGTTAACTACGTTTTCCTTCTTGCTTTCCTTTTTGAGCAATGTTGATGTTTAATACGAATTCCAGATGGATGCTATTTTTATAGGCAACTATGGATTCCTCATTCTTGCTGTTTTTTTGTAGGCATAGGATGTTGTTATTTTGCCTCCTCTTAGGAATTAATTGCTTATGATATTCTATTTTTCTATGCAGCAACAAGCCTGTTTAAGATGCTTTTGAAGTATAGGCCCGAGGACAAAGCTGCCAAGAAGGAACGACTTTTGAAGAGGGCGCAAGCTGAGACTGAAGGGAAGACAATTGAATCCAAGAAACCAATTGTTGTGAAATATGGGCTTAATCACGTCACTTACCTCATTGAGCAGGTTTAAAATTTCTTGTGATTTATGTGCTTTATATTAGTACTCTTCTGGATCTTAATAATTGTTAGGTCTTTCAATTCTGTATAGTTTTTATTTTTATTTTACCACGCTTTTGATTAATATTTTAACCTTCTCTCAGAACAAGGCCCAATTGGTTGTTATTGCTCATGATGTTGATCCAATAGAACTGGTTGTTTGGCTTCCAGCATTGTGCAGGAAGATGGAAATCCCCTACTGCATAGTGAAGGGAAAGGCACGTTTGGGAACAGTTAAGTATTTATTAACCATTTTGCTTTCCATTTAAATATTGAACTGTGAAAAATTAAATTTTAATTTTGCCATCTCTGTTATGGATTCCTGTATAGATTGTTCACAAGAAGACTGCTGCTGTATTGTGCCTTACCACTGTGAAGAATGAAGATAAGCTCGAATTTAGCAAAATTTTAGAGGCTATTAAGGTGAAAACAAATCAAAGAATGGTTTCATTTCAAACTTGAATGAGCTTCTACATTCATTAATTTCTAATTTTAATCCACAGGCCAACTTCAATGACAAGTTCGATGAGATCAGGAAAAAGTGGGGAGGCGGAATTATGGGTTCCAAATCTCAGGCCAAAAGTAAGGCAAAGGAAAAGCTCCTGGCTAAAGAAGCTGCTCAGAGGATGAGCTAGGCTGTTTTTCAACTTTTGAAATATGCATTATGGAGCTGTTTTGTTCTTTGATCCGTATTTTGTTAGATTTTGATCTCCGTTGGTGGCTGCGTAGACTATGTTTTATGGACCGAAGGTTTTTTTTTTCACATACGTGTATTAACTATTTTATTCTGGGGCACAATTTTCTGTGAATCCTACTTGCTCCTTAGAAATATTGCTTGATAAGAGTTCTTGGATCAATGGAGAAGAGGATACGAGCATTCATTTCAGGTTAGACTTTGTTACCATTACATCAGCGAGTAGTTGGTTAGCAACTATTAGTTTTAGCTGCAGGTCATGTTTGTGTGATGAAATCCTAGAATTTGATTTGTTGATGACCATTTTGCAATCATTAGGGGCTGTTAGTGATGATATTTTGTTTTTGTTTTGTTATTTTTATTTTGGTGCATTTAGATTTATATGACCTAAACCTTTATCACATCAAAAATATTATTATTTTAATTTTTAAAAATTGAAGCTTATTTTCATTCATAAATAATGGGGCATATTTGTACAAATTGAAGTATATGGGTTAGATCTCTAACTGCATAGGAAATGAGTGGTATGTCATGTTTTTCTTTCTTTTATTTTGTATGCAATAAAAGTAAATTTAATATTTTTAATGTGTTTTAATTGTTTCTTTTATTGAATATCATATTGCTTTATTTTTTTGTGATTTGGAAGAGGATGATGGCATTATGGGTGTGGGTGGTTAGAGGTGTTAGCTTAAAAAAAAAAAATTACTTCTGGACTATGGACACATTGTTGCGTTTGGAGTCCAATAAAATTTTCGCGGCATGCAAGCGGGGGGTCCACTGAATAAAAAATGAAAACCTCTATTTCAATGCATGACCCAACTAGTTCGAGCCGTGTTTCTTCGCAAATAAAACCCTTCGCGCCAAATAAATCTCCACGTTCTTCTTACTCCATTGAGTAAGGTTTTACATAGTGATTTTCTCAGTCCCTATCTTTCGTCGGACACAAACATTAATGATGGAATATGTAAATAATAATAAGAAGTTTGGAATGGAAGTGATGGAATCTGAAAATAAGGATGAGATGTTTGAGATAGAGGTGATGAATTCTAAAATAATATTGAGAAATTTGAAACATAGGTGAGTTTAGTTGCATTTGAAATCTCATTAGATGTGTTAGCTTTAAAAAAATAATAATAATACTTCTGGACTCTGGGCTTATTGTTACGTTTGGAGTCCAATAAATTCTCGCCACATGCAAGCGGCGGGTCTACTGAATAAAAAATAAAAATCTCTATTTCAATGCATGACCCAACTTGTCCTAGTCGTCTTTCTTCGAAAACAAAATCCTTCGCGCCAAATAAATCTCCACTTTCTTCTTACTCCATTGGGTAAGGTTTCACATAGTGATTTTCTCAGTCCCTCGCTCGCCGGACGACTAATATTAATGATGAAATCTATAAATAATAATGAGAAGTTTGAAATGGAGGTGATGAAATCTGAAAATAAAGATGAGATGTTTGAGATAGAGGTGATAAATTCTAAAAATAATATCGAGAAATTTGAAACATAGGTGAGTTTAGTTGCATTTGAAATCTCATTAATTTATGTTATTGTGGTATTATTGAGATATTTGTGTGGTGTTATAAAGGTAATTTTGAGGTGTTTTATTATTATTATGGTGTTATTGAGGTGTTTTTTTAGTGATATTGTCGCGGTTATTTGGTGGTATTTTCGACCAGCTTTATTATGGTGTTTTTGTGGTTTTTTGTGGTATTATTGAGGTGTTATTTAGTTGTTATTAGAGCTTTATTGTGGTGTTATTTTAGTGGTATTGTGATAATTCTGTGGTGTTATTAGAGTCCTTTTATGGTGTTATTTAGGTATTATTATAATGTTATTCATGTGTTACTGAGGTGTTATTACAGTTCTTTTGTGGTGTTATTGAGATATTTTTGTGGTGTTATTGGAGTGCTATTGTGATATTATTACGGTGTTATTGCGGTATTTTGATAGTATAGCCTAAATACAGTGATATTATTATGGTGCTAAGGCGTCCCCTGGAAGCAATGCACTGTATAACCTGAATAAAGTGAAAAGTGTGCAAGGGCCGCTACACCGGCGTCTGGGTGTAGTGTCAAATAAGCAAGGGTTCACACATTACGGACGAATGTGGGTAAAGAAGTTAGTCCATCAAACTAATGAAATTAATATTATGATAGAATCTTGGAATATAGGTACTCTCAATGGTAAATTAATGGAATTAGTTGATTTTATGATTCATAGAAACATTAATATCTTATGTATTCAAGAAACTAAATGAGTTGGAGAAAATGCTAAGAAGATTGATAACTTAGGTTTTAAACTTTGATATTCTGGTAAGAGACACTAAAAATGTTGTAGGTGTTATTATGGATAAGAGTTTGACAGATAATGTTGTAAAAATTAATAGAGTTGGAGATAGAATTATAGCCCTTAAGATTATCATTGATACTAAGATTTTTAATATAATAAGTGCTTATGATCCTCAAGTAGGTTTAGATATAGGGTCTAAAGATAAATTTTGGAATGACTTAGAAAATTTAATACAATTGATACCTCTTGAAGAAAGAATTTTTGTTGGAGGAGATTTAAATGGACATGTTGATAGAGTGGTAGAAGATTTTAGAAATATTTATGGTGGCTACGGTTTTGGAGTGACTAATGAAGAAGGTAGAGCTATTTTAGATTTTACTTTAGCATATGACTTTGTTATTACTAATACTTTATTGAAGAAAAGAGATGTGCATCTTATTACTTATAAAAATGTATATACTAAAACACAAATTGCTTATTTTCTTTTGAGAATAAGAGATCGTCGAGATTGTAAGGATTGTAAGGTCATTGCAAGTGAGGATTTAAGTACCCAACATCATTTATTAGTTCTAGATTTAAAGACGAAGAGTTGTAAAATAAAGAATATTAGGACTCATCATCGTAGAATTAGATGGGGGGACCTAAAAGACATAAATAAAATTATTTTTATGAGTAAAATTCAAGATTTCAAAAATTGGGATGTTCATGATGAAGTAAATGATATGTGAGATAAAGTAACAAACACAATTAAACAAGTAGCAAAAGATGTACTTGGAGAATCAAAAAATAAAATTTCTTTAAATAAAAATAGTTGGTGGTATAATAATGGGCAATAAAAGATATAATATAAGAAGTTATGTTATAAAAATTAGTTTAATGTAAAAGTTTAGAGAACTGGGAAAAATATCAAGCGATCCGCAGGAGTCTAAAAGAACAATATGTGACGCTAAAAATTTTGCTTTTAATAATCTTTATAATATATTAGATACTAAGGAGAGTGAAAAACATATTTATAAACTAGCCAAACAATGAGAAAAGAAAAGTAAAAATTTAACTCAAGTAAAGTGTATTAAAGATGAAAACCAAAAAGTGCTTTGTTAGAAAAAGATATTCAACATTGGTGGGTGAATTATTTTGATAAATTTTTTTATGAAGTTTCTGAAAATACAATCTACCTTAGTGATCTTAATATGATTAATAATAATAAAACGTTTCATTTTTACTGTCGTATTAGTAAAAAAGAAGTTGAGGAGACTTTAAAGAAAACCAAGGGTGAAAAGTCTGTAGAACTTGATGATATCCCAATTGAAGTATGGAAATGTTTAGGAGATTTGGGAGTTTCTTGGCTTACTAAACTCTTTAATATTATTTTAAAAATTAAAAAGATGACTGAGGAGTGGAGGAAGAGTATTTTGGTCCCCAATTTTAAGAATAAAGGGGATGCACAAGAGTTTGCAAATTATAGAGGAATTAAGTTGATGTGTCGTACTTTAAAATTATGGGAGAGGATAATTGAACATAAGTTAAGATGTATTACAAAGATTTCTCATAATCAATTTGGATTTATGTCGGGAAGATTTACTATGGAAGCTATACATTTACTGAGAAGTTTGATGAAGAAATTCAGAGATAATAAAGAGAATCCACATTTGATTTCTATTGATTTTAAAAAAGCTTACGATAAGATTCCAAGAGATATCTTTTGGAGAGTTCTTGAGAAGAAAGGTGTTAATATGACTTATATTCAAGTCATTAAAGATATGTATATTAGAGTTGTTACTTGTGTTCGAATTGAAGGAGGATTGACCAAATATTTTCTTATTTATGTTGGATTCTTACTGGACATCTACAGGAGGATGTACCTTGGTGTATGTTCTTTGCTGATGATATCCTTCTCGTGGATAAAAAAAGATAAAAAACCAAGGAAAAACTTGAATTATGGAGGTCTACATTGGAGTCTAAAGACCTTCATTTAAGTAAAACTAAAACTGAATACATGGAATGTAATTTTAGTAGTAGTAGCTCTAATGACAGAAGTGTGACATTGGGTGATCAAATTATTAAAAAGTGTGAACGATTTAGATATTTTGGGTCTGTTGTTCAAAGCGATGGTGATATAGATGTGGATGTTAATAGTAGAGTTCAAGTTGGTTGGTTGAAGTGGAGAAATGCTTTAGGGCTTTTGTGTGATAGAAAAGTACCGCTTAGACTGAAAGGAAAATTATATAAGATGGTGGTGAGACCTGCAATGCTCTATGGCGCTCAATGTTGGCCTTTAAAAGAGAAGCATAATAATAAGTTAAGTGTTGCCGAGAT